CAAGCCTGACCATGAAGAAAACGAACAGGAGCCCTTCCTTTAACAACGAAAATATCTTACCAAGCATGTTTCCCTTTCTGCTTTAGCTGCCAGCAGCTTCGTGACACTTCAGTGTCCAGCTGCTATAACACCGGTAAAAGGACCAGGACTGCAACAGACACGCTTACGTGGCCCGTAAGGCCCGTGAGAAATCTCAGTTTCTTGGGCCTGGCTGCTGGAGAGGTTGCAGGTTGCCAGTGCCTGGTTCCCCCGTAGCTGTTCTGTCCCCTGCACCGTACGGGGCTTTGAGCGTGTCCTCCTCTTCCCTGCTGCCATCCAGTCTGTGAGCCCCCCGCGGGCAGGGACCCTGCCTCCATCCGGCACCGCCCCGGCACCGCACTGGCCCCGGGCGGCCGTCGGTCGGGGAGGATGCTTGCCTGGGGCTCGTTGCCATCCCAGAGCCGCGGAACCACGTGCAGAGGAGGAAGCCGGCGGAGTTCTGGTATCGTTGCTGCAGCTGGTGTTGTGAATCAGGCCGACGAGCAGCGCATCCTCTTACCCGGCTATTTCACGACACCAGGGTTGCATCATACCCATCCTCTCCAGGCGAGCCTCGTGGGACCGGGCGGCCACGGACGTGGGGAAGGGGTGAGGTGGGAGCGGGGAGTCTGTGTGTGGAAGATTATGGTCTTTAGCTCCCCGGATCTCAGGACGCTCCTCGGGATCCCCCGGGGAGATGCCGGCCCCCAAGCCCATAGACTCTCCAGGCTGGGGTCACAGAGTCAGCGTCTGTTAGGAGTTCCGGTGTGATGCCCGAGACCGCGTGCAGTCAGGGGACGGCCCGGGGGCTCCTAAGCCAGGCTGCCGTCTGTTCCTGCCTGGCTGTTGCGGTAACCCCTCCCGACCCTCCCCGGCCTTGTTCTTTCTGCCTTGCCCTGCTCGCCAGCGGCTTCCCAGAGACAGGTGGCATCTCGCAGTCCAGGCCCCTTACCCTGGCACTGCCAGGCTTCCCTGCTCAGCAGCGATGCTGCCGTTGGCCCCATAGGGTCCTTCCTGGGCCCTTCCCTCCAACCGCTGCTCTACGTGAATCCATGCGCTGGGCTTGTCAGCTCTGCCTTCACAACACACCTCAGGTCCCAACAGTCCTCCCCTGCTGCCACCCACAGCCGCTGCCCTGGCCTGGCCGCCACCACGGCGCACCTGCGGTAGTCCCCGACTAGCCTTGCCGCACCTTGCCTCCCTCAGTCCATCGTCCATCCAACAGCCAGAGTGATTTCTGGTAAATGGGAATCTGACCGTCACATGATGGAATATAAACCTTCTGACCCTGGCTTACGAGGCCCAGTGATCCCTGCGTGTCTCAGACCCCAGCTCCTCAGTCCCTCTGCTCAACCACACCAGCCTTCTTGCTGCCTACACTCCTATCCTAGGGCCTTTGCACATGCTCTCTCCTCCTTCTGGAAGCCCTGAACTCATTCCTGCTGGCATATGGGCGGCTCCTTCTCATTGCTGGAGCCTACCTTGAATTTCTCATTCTCAGGCCTAAATGCCCCTCCTAAAAAAATTTTTTTTAAGGCTTTGTTTTCTTAATAGCACCTACCACTGAATGTATCATAATGATTGTTTGTTTACTTACTGTCTCCCCACTAGAATGTAAGCTCCCAGAGGGCAGGGTCCTTGTCTTGTTCTCCATGGTGCTTCCTTTGCCTACCACAGGGCCTGGTATGCAGTAGGCACTCAATAAATGTGTGTGACTGAAGAAACACCTCACATTCCCCCCTTTCTTCCCTCCTCCTCTTACCCCCATGGCATTGTGTGCTCCAGCCCCGGCCATCTCTTCCTCGCGCTGACCCCAGGCCCCAGAATCCCCGCCCTCTCCGGGGCAGCCGCCCCCTCTCCTAGCCAGTTGCTGGTTTGCCTGCCAGGCTAGGTTGCGAGTTCCAGTGCCTGGTATGCAGGAGGAGCCTAATAAATGCTTGAGTGGCTCTGTGGCCTCGAAGACAGGAGGCTCTGAGATGCAGAGGTTGCCTCAGGCCCTCCTGTCCTCACCATATCAGCCCTGTGGCTATAGTTGTCGCTCCTAGGGAGTTTCTCAACCACTGAGTCAGTTCCTTTCCCCCTTCTGTTCTCCATCACCCTCGGGAGATGCAAGGAACCCGAAGTCTCTCCGCTGGGGGTTGACGCTGGACAGGTGAGCCACCAATGACCCAGGGCAGGTGGCTTTCCCATTTTGCTGCTGAGGCAGCTGAGGCTCACCACAGTCAGGTGACGTGCTCAAAGTCACATGGAAACTGAGGCCTGGGGTGTGAGCCTGAGACTCACATCACAGGGCTTGGTTCAGGGTACATCCGACTTTGAGTCCTGGGTCCCAGACCTGCAGGACTCTGGGGCCCACATGGAAGCTGGTGTCCCGCAAGGCAGGTGTTGTGTCTGACCCAGCACTGTGTCCCCCACCTGGAAAGTGTCTCCAAATGGATCACTTTCCATCCACGTATAAGAATCCGCTTTCCTGGGGGTCTGTGCTTTGGGACCAGGTGTTCTGACAGTCCCTTCAACGTGGTCTTTTGATAAGCCCTTCAAGGTGTCCTGTTTAACTCTCACCTCACCCCAGAGAGATGCAGAGGGGCAGGAGCGGCTTCTTGAAGCAGCTGCGGGGCTAGAAGGGACCTTGGGGCTCCCCTAGGCCTAGGTGTCATGGAGGGATGAAGAAGTGACTTGCCCAAGATCACCCAGCAATTCTGTGGCCCCTCTCTCTGCCTGTGGCCCCTGTGCCGCTGGAAACCAGTCCTGGCCCCTCCTGGCCTCTTCCCCTCCTGAGATGGGAATCAGGAAATTTCCACAGCTGCTCCAGGGTGGAGTGTGTTGGATGGGTGGAAGGGGGTGTTAGGCAGCTGTGACTTTCAGTTTAAAAGTGAGAGGGTGATAAGATCTGCCCCCAAGGCCCCATGGGACGGAATGAGTAACCTGCCGGCCTCTCCCTGCCCAGACCTGCAGGGAAGGTGGAAAACTGACCTGGAGACCTCACCTCCTAGCTTTCGGCCCCACTGGGTGGAGGTTGGAGACACACTTCTCCAGAAGCCTCTCTGAGGGGCAGCTAGAAATCCTGGGAAGGGGGTAGGCAAGCTGGGGGCTCGTTAAGAGGAGCCCTGAGGAGAGTCTCTTAAAAAAAATGAACACATATGATGAATATATAAACTTTGCAAACAGATACACAGTGATCATAACCTTTCGGGTTTGTCATCGGGGGCCTGTCATCTTCGGCTCACCTCCATGTCTGGCTGGCTCGGCTGGGAGAGTGCCAGGAGCTGCCCCTTACACCCCTGACTCAGGCTAAGACTGCCAGCCAGGGGTTTCTAATGGCAGCCGCTCTTTGCCCTCTTGGCTTCTGGCTCCCCCTTCATTACCCGTCCAGCAAGCATTTATGGAGTACTTACAGCTCTTCTAGCTGCTTGGGATTATCTGTGAACGAGATAGGCCCAGATCCCTGCCCCCGTGGGCTTAGCTTCTAGCAGCAAAAGGTAAGTCCCCCTTCCCAGAATAATGCACTTAGGTATGAAAACTTGTCCACAACTTTGTGGGGCTCCCGGACCCCAGTCCAAGTACCCTCATCTTGGAGGGTGACTCCTTAACCCAGTTTACTATCTAACACAGTCTAAGCATTTCTACCTGCCCACTTCTGGGAGGGAGGGAGAGAAATGTGTCCCTCTTTGTCCCTCCCAAGGATGGCTGGCCCCTGAGCAGAAGCCCAGCTCAGAAGCCTGGAGCTGATGGTGGCCTCGGGGTCTCCGTCCATCCCCTGCCTCCAGAGAAACAACTCGTCCTCCAAGGCTCTGGTCAGGGGTCTGTTGAGTCCCTGCTGTCCCCACCCTGACCCTCCTGCGGGGGAATCTCTCCCACTGCTACCCTCACTACACAGCCAGGCCAGTCCGTTTCCATGTCCCTTTTCCCCACTAACTTAACAGCACCTTGAGCACAGGCACCCCTTCTCTCTGGTGGCCCATCTGGGTGCCCACCACACTAACTCATCTCTCCTAACCCTCTTCTGATTTCAGCCCCCACCGCTGCAATGGCTCAGGTGCCTCTGGTGACCGGAGGGCAGCCTGCCCTCCGCCCCCATGCAATCAAGGCATGGCCTCAGGGCAGCTGACCTGGGCCAGCGATGAAATGGGGCCTCTGCTCGCTGCTGTCCGCCTTGGGAATGGGGGGCTCCTTGTCTGGGCTGGGCCGGGGGAGGCGCTGCTCCCTTGGGCTCTATAACTCAGGCTCTGCGGTGCATGTGCAGGCTGGGTACCCAGTTGCCCCGCAGGCCCCTGACCAGCCACAAGTCAGCCCCAGGGGCCCTTCAGGCCCCAGGTGGCTACAGATCACACCTATCGCATGCTGAATTCTGGTCTGGGGGTGCTTGCACATAATGGCTTATACACTCTGAGATGTCTTTGGAAGGACGGGCACAACTAGGAGTCAGAGGTCCAAGAGAGAGAGACTAACCTTTTATATACACGTGTGCATCTTTTTAAACATCATACCATTCATCTATTCACAGATACTAGGTAAATAAAAACTAAAACTAAATACTAGGTAAAATGAGAGGTTTTTGAACCTGCATAGGGTGGGGCCACAGGTCATCAGGCTGTCCCTAGGGTCCCTCATAGGGTCCCTAAGAGTCCCCTCTGGTGAGTACTGCTTCCTAGGGTCCTGCAGACGTCCTCAGCTCTCAGACTCAGAAGAGCCTCTCGGGGACCCAGGGGCTGGACGTGTTTGCCCCTTTCCCGCTCTGCGTCTGGCTGTGGTCCAGCCCAGCCCTTCCGGTCCCAGGCCAGGCTGCTATCTCCGCGATCAGGTGGCGGGCAGGACAGCAGTGGGCACGTGCTCCACCTCCCACCCCGTCCAGGGACCCTGCTCGCCAGCCATGGGCGGTTTGGGCCAAACTCCCTGCCTCCTCCCCGCTGTGGGCCAGCCTATAAAGCCACCCAGCACATCCCCGCCGACCCTGGCCCCCTCCCCGGACACCCAGAGCCACCATGGCAGAGCTGCCGGGGTCAGAGATGCCGGGGGACCCCACGCTGTGCAGCGGGCGCTTCACCATCAGCACGCTGCTGGGGGGCGATGAGCCCCCGCCGCCGGCTGCCTACGACAGCAGCCACCCCAGCCACCTGACCCACGGCAGCACCTTCTACATGCGCACCTTCGGCTACAACACTATCGATGTGGTGCCCGCCTACGAGCACTATGCCAACAGCGCCCTGCCCGGAGAGCCCCGAAAGGTCCGGCCCACGCTGGCCCATCTGCACTCCTTCCTCAAGGTAAGCACCGTCTCAAAGACTGGCCACGGTCCTGCTGTGTGACCTTGACACGGGTGCTTAACTTCTCTGAGCCTTGGCTCTTGTGCCCCGGGGACAAACAAGTGTCTTCTTCATGGGTCAAGAGGCCTCAGTGAAATGTGAGCGTGGAAGCTATAGAGCTCGGGGCACATGTTGTAATGTTTATTGTCCGGGCACCGATGACCCAATCAAGCAATCGTAGCCTCCTAGAGAGGTAATGAGCCACGGCGGGTGGAGGTGCGTGAACAGAGGCTGCACGCACCTGAAAGAGGTAGGGAGGTGGGAATGAGGAAGGTCTGCAGCGGAGAGGAGGCTTGCTGGGTTTGCTGCCTGCGGGGCTGGACTGTAGAGGAGGCGAGATGGGGGGCTGGAGTGTCATGACCCCCGCCCGCCTGACCTGTGGCCTCTGGGCTTCCAGCAGGAAGGCAGCCATCTGCACGCCTTGGCCTTCGACAGCCGGCCCGGCCATGAGATGACTGACGGGCTGGTGGAGGACGAGACAGGCACCAACAGTGAGAAGAACCCTGGGGAGCCCGTGCGCTTTGGCTGGGTCAAGGGGGTGATGGTGAGTAGGGTGTGGGTGGGATGCCCAGGAAGGGGAGTGGGAGACAGAGTTCCATCCAGGCTCAGCTCTGACTCTCAGATGTCAGTGGCCAGGGTAGACCCAAGGTCCAGTCTGGGCCTCAGAGATTTTCCCTGGTTTTGTGCTTCTCAACCCCCAGACTGATACCTTGCCCTAGGAAAGATCTGTGTATATTCACTTGTTCTATGGCCTTGGACAAGTTATTTAACCTGTCTGTGCCTCAGTTTCTTCATCTGTAAATGATGTGCGTTAAATGAGTTAATAGACGGGAATTGCTTGGATCAATGCTTCCCCTGGAATTATTAGGAGACATTGTTTTCCCCCACAGCCACCAGGGGGCAGCACGAAACACACAGTGTGAACGCATGTTTTTCTCATTCTCAGTGATGGGCAGGGGAAGGTTTCCTGTGGCCTAGAGCACCAGTAAGTCCTCAAACAGCAAAGAATCAAATGAACTTGGCTTTGCAAGGCATTATGGGACCTTACAGAGGGGATCACATGAGAGTTAGAAGAAGGCTTTGGTCCTGCTCTGGAATGCGGGAGGCCTGTCCTCAGGCTGTGCCTCCGTTTCTCCATCTGAACTGTGAGCTCCCCTCTACCCCAGCAGCTCGTATATGGCGTCTGAATCTTCCTCCTGAGCTGTGGCAGCCAGAGCCTGGCGTGGCCCCGTTCAGTATCTCGGAGTGTATAGAGGGTCTTAGAGGTCTCCCTGCCTTGCAAACGCCACATGTTCCTGCCCCTCCCCAAGACGTGGCTGGGGCCCAAGACCACATCAGCACCCCCACCTCCGTGGAACTTCAGTCTCAGCTGTGGCCTCTGGCTTTGCTTTAAATTTGGAAGCTGAAGTCACAGCGACCTGAGTGCTGTTTCTGCTTGTATGTGGGGCATTGGCTCAGCTGGCATTTGCTGAGCTGCCCCTGGATGCCAGGCCCTGGGCCAGCAGCTGGCCACTGGGGCCCCGGCTGGGGCTGCCAGACACAGGATCCCGGGCTGGGAGCCCGCTGAGGGGTGATTATGCTTGCAGCCCATCCTCAGACCCCAATGGGAGGGCAGAAAAGTGAGTCTCTGGGTACCCCCCCTCCCTGGGTGCCCCAGTGAGTTAGAGGGGCATTGAAGTAGGAACCCATTGCAGTGAGTAGAGCCAAGAAAGGACCCACGTGTCCCCTAGGCCGTGCCATGCCATGACTGGGGACAGAGACTTGTATGTTTGGCTTTGGGGTATCCGGCCCACCCAGGTGACCTCCGACCCCTCTCTCTTCCCAGATCCGTTGCATGCTCAATATCTGGGGCGTGATCCTCTACCTAAGGCTCCCCTGGATTACAGCCCAGGCGGGCATCGGTGAGTGTCACCTCCTGGGGGAAGGGGAAGAGTGTGTCTGAGACCTTATCCTTCCAGGCCACAATCCTGAACTTGGGCTGCAGAGCCCCAGGCTCCTGCAGTGACAGAGGACAGGGAGGTGTGGCAGGAGAGTCTGCAGTGGAGTCAACAGACCCGAGGACTCTCCCTGGCCCTGTTTGCCCTCAGACAATGTCCCTGAACCTCTCAGAGCCAATCTCTCCTGCATAGCATCCAGGTTAGGAACTTCTGCTCTGGACAGACACCAAGGTTCAGATGCTAGCTCTGATGCTGTGTGACCTTGGACAAGTTTCTTAACCTCCCTGAGCCTTGATTTCCTCATCAGTAAACTGGGAGTGATAACTATCCCTACCCACAGACCTATAATAGGGTTTCTATGATGCATGTAAAACACCATAGGATTTGGTACCCAAAGGTGTTCATCAAGTGGTAACTATTAATTTTTAAAAAAATTTTTTAATGTTTTATTTATTTTTGAGAGAGAGGCGGGGGGGAAGGGGCAGAGAGAGAGAGGGAGACACAGAATCTGAAACAG